CCCCCCCCCCCCATGTCTTTGGTTCGGCTCCCTCAACCCCCCATCTTTTCCATTTAATAGTCTTTTTAATCACCATAAAACCTCATCACTCTCCACCCATAATACTCCCATTTTTGTAACCCCCCATTTGTGAATTCAATCATCAAGCTCCATCATCACCATTCATCTTCTCTCCCTCTCTCATTTTCGGCCAAGGCAGCAGCAGCCCATGAATCTCCGGTGAAGCTCCGATGGGTGCAAGGTTGAAGGAGAAGAAGAGCTAGGTCGTTCGTGCGAAGCGTAGTCGTCGTTCGCCCGTTCGATTAGCACCGTTCGTTCATCTCGTTCCGTCAACCCCTTCATTTAGAGGTGAGTAGTCGTTCCCTCTAATTCTAGAACATTTAGTTATAATCTATGTCGTTATATTCGTAGGAATATCGTACGCAACCTACGTAGAATCTATGCATGTTCGTAGGTTAGCCACCAAACGTCTATTACGTAAAACCTATGAATATTGGCCTAAGAATCACTAGGAATATATTCATCGACGTTGTATTATTGTTCTAAAAAGAATCTAGGTGTTAAACTAGCAAAACGGACCAAAACGGAACAAGGAACAGCGGACTGTCTCCGGGACGGTCGACCGCCGCTACGGACGGTGGACTGCACCCATGGCCAACCCGACGGTCACCACCGTGACGGTCGACCGCCGGCCGCGACGGAAGACCACGGTGGACCGTCGGCCATCCAGACCTCCATAGTGTATCCCACGGTCGACCGCCGTTAGGGTACGGTCGACCGTTCCGCGGGCAGATTCCAGTCATTTGTAGAACGAGCCCTATTGACCACGTTGACCCAGAATCTAAGCATTTGTTGCATGAAATGTTAATCTTCATTATAAAAGTTATTTAATTGATATATTCTTGGCGTTGACCAAAGGTAAATATATCAAGCATTCATCATGTTCATTTTAGACGCATGTCCTAGGTTTTCATCATGTGCATACCGCTGTAGGGAGGACTTCGTGCGCCTACTACAGTGGGCCCGTCCAGGAACCTTTGGGGACCAACGGGTTTTCATCATGTTGGGCTTGTGTACGTACATAGTAATCAGGTTACGGCTACTACCCGGTTTTGCTAGTCCTCTCGCTACATCTTCGTCGTGGCTGGCTCGTTACCGTTCGGGGACGATGACCGGAGTGTAGGGGTGATCCTGTCGAGTGAGACTAAGCCAGGGGTGTCCCTGATAGTTTGAGTCATGCATCAAGTCATATCATCATCATGTATGTTCCAATCACCTTGTTATTTGTAATAGCTCTAACAGGTGAAAACTAAACAGTTAGTAACATGTGGTTTTCCGTACGTTAAGTACAGGTATTAATATGTGTATAGCCATACGGGTTATCACTAAATATTCTTTTGTTAGATTCACTCAGCTTTTGCTGAGCGTGTAGTTGTTTTTGCTACACGCAGGTAGACATGACGGAGCTGGTGCCAACCCTGGAGAGCAGTGACGATGGGGAGATGGGCGGCGCACGGACGAACTCATATTTACTTTTAATTACTTGATTAATCATTTGGGCATGAACCCACCCTTGTCGTATAATTATTTTGGACTGGACTTATTTATTTACTTCCGCATTTACTCTGCACTTTTATTACACGCGTTTTGGGAGTAACTCCCCGGCATTTATTTCACTAATTAAAACCAAACCGTTTTCACAATTAATTATATTAATGTTTTACGTTACGGACAGTTCTCGAACTGCCCATGTAACCCTACCGGTTTGTTGGGTCGCGGGTGAACCGGGTCCACGGAAGGCGGGTGTTACAGCAGCTTTCAACATTTCGAAGAATTGCTTGTCTATCGAATTCAGCTCTTCTTCAAGAACAGAGTCGATCCTAGTCGGGCCGACATCATCATAAACCATGTATACAAATTGTTCTCTACCCGGGACATGTGATACATCTGAGGCATCAACTTGACGAGGGACTTTACATCGTTGTGGAAGAAC